TATAATTTAGTGCATTGTTAGTTAATTTTTTTATTTAAAAATTTATTTATAATATTGTATATATTTATTTAATATTTATTATATAAGATTAGTGTGTATCATTTTTTGTTTTTTTAAAAAAATTTAGAATCTCAACTTATATTTAGAAACTAAAATTTCAATGCAAAATGTAAAATTAAAATTAATATGCAGTTTTTTCTTATTATATTTATTTAATGTCATATATCATATAATTATAAATTTATCATTTTAAGTGATACTATTTTTTATTAAACTTTCAAAATTTAAAAGTTATATTAATATCAACTAATTTAAAATCAAATCACAATAAATCACATAAATTTTTTTTTAATGTCTACTACTTTATTTATTAAATTTAAATTTAAGATTTTATTTAAACAATATTTCTACCCAAATGTATGATTTTATTTTATTTAGATTTTATTTAAATCAAAAAATTGAATGATCAAATAAATAAAAAATCTAACCCAAATGTCAAATCCCTTGCCATATAAGCATGACATGGCAATATTTTGCCATCCAAGCAGCCAAACGACTGTGTCCTAAACGGTAGTTAAGCCACGCAAGCAAGTCTCAAACGGCAGTTAAGTTGGCTTAAGAAGAGGGGCTTAATTGCTTTGATCGCAGAGTTTAAGGGCTTATATGTATCAATTAAAGTTTAAGAGCTTAATAGCGATTCTAGGGTTAGTTCAGGGGCTTAACTTATGGTTTTGCCACAAAAATATAGGTATTGACCAAATCTTTACTAATTATAGAAGTTAAGAACCTCTAGCAATATTACCAAATGAGCTTCTATAAAATAGTGAAAAATGCCCAAGTAAATTCATTTTTTAATGCCCAATATATTAAGTTTGGGTCCTTTTTTTTTTTTTTCCTAAATTACGCTCATTTATCAACTATATATCTATCTATCATATAAAAATTGCTAAAATGTGTCAAAATTCATGTTTTATTCCAAATAAATACCAAAATAAATACAAAATGATTAATTAAGAATCAATATATACAAAACAAGGTATAACAACAGATGCAGATTCAAAAAATAATTTTAGAAGGGAGGAGTATTTTAGGTGAAATTTCTAGTAACTTTGGTTAGCCATTCCGAAGCATAGGTCAACAAAGTTGTGAAGGGAATAGTATTGTACGTGGAGGAATCATTATAGTTCCACAAACAAAAATTGTTTTATGAGCAAAATTCTATACTTTATTAAGATTAATTAAAATATTTACTTTCCATTAAAAAAAATATTTAAGTATAGATTTAAAAATAGTTCAAATTCCAACCCAAATGTGTTCAAATTTTGAAACTGTAGTACTGTGTTTTAGTGAACTATGGCTACAAGTTTTTTCTTTTTCTATCCCAAAATTAAATATTAAAATATTAGTTAAAATAAATAAAAATATATAAAATATTA